GAGAGAGGGAGGGAGGGAAGGAGGAAGGAAGGAAAGGAAGGAAGGAAGGAAGGAAGGAAGGAAGGAAGGAAGGAAGGAAGAAAAGAAGGAAGGAGGGAGGGAGGGAGGGAGGGAAGGAGGAAGGAGGGAAGGAAGGAAGGAAGGAAGGGAGGGAGGGAAGGAAGGAGGAGAAGAGGAAGGAAGGAAGGAAGGAAGGAAGGAGGAAGGGAGGGAGGAGGGAGGGAGGGAAGGAGGGAAGGAAGGTAGGAAGGAAGGAAAGGAGGGAGGGAAGGGAGGGAGGGAAGGGAGGGAGGGAGGGAGGAAGGAGGAGGAGAGGAAGGAAGGAAGGAGGGAGGGAGGGAGGGAGGGGAGGAGGGAGGGAAGGAAGGAGGGAAGGAAAGAAGGAAGGAAAGGAAGGAAGGAAGGAAGGAAGGAAGGAAGGAAGGAAGGAAGGGAGGGAGGGAGGGAGGGAGAGAGGGAGGGAGGGAAGGAGGGAAGGAGGAAAGGAAGGAAGGAAGGAAAGAAGGAGGGAGGGAGGGAGGGAGGGAGGGAAGGGAGGGAGGGAGGAAGGAAGGAAGGAAGGAGGGAGGGAGGGAGGGAAGGAAGGAGGAGGAGAGGAAGGAAGGAAGGAAGGAAGGAAGGAAGGAAGGAAGGAAAGGAGGGAAGGGAGGAAAGGAAGGAAGGAAGGAAGGAAGGAAGGAAGGAAAGGAGGGAAGGGAGGAAAGGAAGGAAGGAAGGAAGGAAGGAAGGAAGGAGGGAGGGAGGGAGGGAGGGAGGGAGGGAGGAAGGAAGGAAGGAAGGAAGGAAGGAAGGAAGGAAGAGAGGGAAACATGGAGGAAGAAGAGAAGGGAAATAAGTAAGAGGAACACAAGAAAAAGAAAATAAGAAAAAAAAGTAAAGGAGGAGGAGGAGGAGGAGGGAAGGACAAGATGACCCCTGGTACTACATCATCCTCTGAATACCCATCCTAGAGTAGCCTCGGGCACCTGGAGCATGGCCCCAACATCAAAATAAATAAATAATTAAGGGATGTTATAGCTGTATGCCAATAAACTGGTAGTATGGAAGAGATGAACAAATTCCTTGAAAAACACTAAAAGCCAAAGTTCATTCAAGAAGAAATAAAATACACTAAGAACACAATGTATATTAAATACATTACACCAAGAGTTTGGAGTTTCCTTATCAGAAAATTTTAAGTGCATCTGGCTACATTGATTAATTCCCCCAAGAATGTAATGAACAACTAAATACCTATTCCATGCAAACTCAAAAGCACCGTGCAATATTAATACACCCATGAAGCTAGGATTTACATGATATCAAAACTAGCGACGATGTAATTACAAGAAAAGAAAAAAATACAAGTCAAGAGTCATCATGAAGACAGATGAAAATTTTCTTGAGAAAATTGAATCCAATGCCATATATACATGAATAATACAAAACCCCGAGCAGAATTTTATCCCTGGCAGACAAGAATGGTTTCATATTTGAAAGTCAATAATGTAATTCATCATATCAGCAAATTAAAAAAGATAAATCCTGTGATCATCTCAGTAGTTACAGAAAAAGCATTTAACAAAACCCTCCAAGTGCAAATTCTCAGAAAATTGGGACTAGGAAGAAGTCTGTGCAACCTTAGAAAGCAAATCTACCAAAAATAATAAAAAGTGAAGCATTATAGGAAGTGGTGAAGAACTCAATTCTTTGCCATGATAATCAAGAAAAATACATGAACATCTACTCTGGTCACGTCTGCTATCATTGTGCTGGTGAGTCTAAGAACAAGAAACAAAATCCATTCACAGGGAGCAAAGCCAATAGGACAGTGGGTAGGATGCTTGCCTTGAACATGGCCAACCCAGATTCATTCCCCTGCATTCCATATGGTCCCATGAACCCTGCCAGGAGTGATCCCTGATCACAGAGTCAGGAGTAAGCCCTGAGCATAGTCTTGTGTGGCCTCAAAACAAAGGAAACAAAACACAAACAAAAAATCCATTCGTAGTGGACAGGAAGGAGGAAAACTATCTTTATTCTCAGACAACACGAGAATCTGTGCAGAAAATAGGATGCCATTGACAGTAAGCTACTAAACCAGGCCAAAGGGTTCAAAATTTTTCTATAAGAATCAATTCTATTTCTATATTTTTAACACGGAAAGTTGAAATTGAAAACTGTTGACAACACCGCTGAAATGACAAAATACTTATGAATCTGACAAAAATAAGTGTGTGACATCTGGTAGCTGAAGGCTATGAAATATCATTAAGATAGATTAAAGAGCCCAAGGTATATTATAGAGGGAAAACATTTGCCCTGTATGTGTCTGACTCCGTTTTGATCCCTGGCGTCACAAAACATTTCCCAAGCATTGCCAGAAGTGATCCTTGAGAACAGAGCCAAGAGTAAACCTTGAATACTGTTAGGGGTATTTCTAGCTCCCTCACCTGAAAAAATAGATTAAAGAATATCAGAATAAATGGACAGGCATATGTTCATAGTCTGGAAGATTCAATACTATTAAATGCCCATTTCTCCCTACTTATAGATTCCTCTCAACCCCAATCAAAATACCAGCAAGACGTTTGTGTAGAAGTTGACGAGATGATGAGGTGGAAATATATATAACATAGAAGACTACCTCCTGAAAAATAATTCGAAAAGAACAAAATTGAAAGTCTAACACCATCCAATTTCTAGACTTATTATAAATGTACAAAAATCAAAATAGTGTGGTATCAGCTAAAAGACAGGAAAATAGATACATGGACAGAATATGGAACATAGACTTCAGAAATAGAACCATATTTATAGCTGAAATTATTTATAAAATACAAAGGCAGTCAAGTGGAGAAAGAATAATCTTTTCAGCAAACGGTACTGGAATAATTATTCATTTGCCAGAGGAGTTTCAATTCATACTTTATATCATACACAAACACTGAACTAAACATAGATCATATATCTAAAAGTAAAACCTAAATATAAAACTTAAAGAAGCAAAGATATGGACTCAGGCAACAATTTCTTAGATACAATAGCAATAGGATAATTTGCTTAAACAATACGAATCAGATTTTTTCAAAATGTAAAATATCTGTTCTCTGAAAGACACTATGTCACAGACAGGAAGAAAATTGCAAATCATATATGTGTATGTGCATATATATATAAATATATTGATTTTAATCTGGAAGGTTTTATAAAGATTTATCAGAATATTCTACGGCTGAATCTCATGAAGACAGTGTTTATGAGAAATGGACTCATTCCTGACGGTCCATTCACTCTCAACGGAACGAACATCTCCAAATGCAACAGTTATGTGTACCTAGGTCGAGAACTCAACATGACGAAGGACCTGGCACCTGAGTTGTGCCTTCAAGAGCATCGAAGAAATAGTTAAGAGGACGAAGAACCTCTGGCTCTA